ATACTATATTATCTTATTGTATACTGGATAATATTATATTGTATAATATACTAAATTATCTCATTGTATAATGGATAGCATTATATTGTATAATATACTATATTATCTTATTGTATACTGGATAGTAATATATTGTATAACATACTATATTATTGCATACTGGATAATATTATATTGTATAATATACTATATTATCTTATTGTATATTGGATAGTATTATATTGTATAATATACTATATTATCTTATTGTATACTGGATAATATTATATTGTATAATATACTAAATTATCTCATTGTATAATGGATAGCATTATATTGTATAATATACTATATTATCTTATTGTATACTGGATAGTAATATATTGTATAACATACTATATTATTGCATACTGGATAATATTATATTGTATAATATACTATATTATCTTATTGTATACTGGATAGTATTATATTGTATAATGTACTATATTATCTTATTATATAATGGGTAATATTATATTGTATAATATACTATAGTATCTTATTGTATACTGGATTATATTATATTGTATAATAAACTATGTCATATTTTTGTGTACTGGATAATATTATATTGTATAATATACTATATTATATTATTGCATACAAGATAATATTATATTGTATAATATACTATATTATCCTATTACATACTGGATAGTATTATATTGTATAATATACTATAGTTTCTCCCTGTACACTGGATAGTATTATATTGTATAATATACTATATTATCTTATTATATACTGGATAATATTATATTGTATAATATACTATATTATCTAATTATATACTGGATAAAATTATATTGTATAATATACTATATTATCTCATTGTGTACTGGATAGTATTATATTGTATAATATACTATAGTTTCTCACTGTATACTGGATAGTATTATATTGTATATTATACTATATTTTCTTATTGTATACTGGATAATATTATATAGTATAATATACTATATTATTGTATACTGGATAGTATTATATTGTATAATATACTATATTATCTTATTGTATACTGTTTGCAATAAACTGTTTCTTTTGAGATTGATCTATTTTAAAATACAAAGTGAAACTAAGTAAACATACTATTCAAAGATTTATTTCAATGTTAATCTTAGGAGTCTTTATCACGTTAATCAAGTCCCATAATGTTTTTTATAATAAAGGTTATTTTATCTTACACTTCAGTATTTTTACAGTACTGTTTTTGTTCACAAGATATTTAGTCATTGAATATTACATATCACATGACTCCCATTATTCAGATGGAAAAAAAAAACAGGAACAATTCAATTTTGGGAGTGAGAATACAGGTTATACATAATTAGAGAAGCTTTAAAAAATAGTATTGGAACTGGTCTAGTGCATCACCCCGGCTATGTGTTAAGTAATCCAAATAATTCTGCTTTTAACCATTACATTCAAATATATTCGTTTACATTCCAAAATGAGTATCCTCGCGTGTTTATCAACATATAATACCCAACTGCTAATATTTCTGCTGTCCCTATATGCAAGTTTTGTGTTCATAGCAGAGCATATAATTGCAATATATAACCTAAAATCAAAGCAATAACCTTTTTATAAATATATGGAAAGAAGGGGATGTTGCAGTAAAATACTAAATTTAAACAATTAAAACTCCATTTTTACAGTTTAACACATATTTAACATAGACAGCATTTTAATTACTTCCAGCTCATTGGGGGAAGGTGTTTCCTGTCGCTATGCCAGATTGGCAAGCACAGAATTATATACAGAACACTCCGGGTTTTAAAAACTGTAAGGGAATTAATGAAGGTGGGGTACTTCCTCAATTTTTAATTATAAAATACGTAGTTCTCTGTCCTTGTACTGTAAGACTAGCAGACTTCTGGAGTGGATTCAGCACACCCCTATGTTTACCAAAATAAGTACAATTGCCTCTATTGCATGTAGCAGTTTCTTTTGTTCAATCTTTGTTTTGTCACGCTCCATTTTTCTGTTACCGTGTCCCAATATTCCGCTGTATGTACATCTGTTAAAGCACTTCTCAGTGAGGGTATATGCTTTGGGTTTTTACGCATACCATCCAAAAACCCAAATAAGTTTTATCACCATACAAACATATAAGCAATACTTATGTTGAAAAATGAACAAGCAATCACATCTAATAGCAATGCATTCCATAGCTAAGGGCTGTATACACAATGCATGGCTGAAATCTTGATTAGCAATGGCAAGACAATTAACTGAATAAAGCATAACAGTTTCAAGGCATTCGAGTGTACTGCACAATTTTTCAAAGTGGTATAAGGTACAGGTTAGGCAGAACATGTCTAGAGGAAATATTGAGAGAAAGCTTCTACTCTATGCAAGCAAGTTCGTGTAAATGGAGATATTAAAGTAGGTTGTGAAACATGCAATTCTTATAAGTACTAAGTATCATGCTAATTAACTTGCATAAAACTTATGTGAGTAGTACCACCAAGAGCGCATTGGCTGGTCTCAAGTTGTAGCGAAGACAGGTAGATTGGGCCAGGAAGCATGAGAGGACAGTAGTTGGTAAGTACAAGGAGCAGGGTAAGAAAGATAGGTGAAGCATAAACACACTGCTAAAAGCACACAGCAGCCCCTTCATCCTATGCCCCCAGCATACAGGCAAAGTCCAGGTAGGTATAGCAGTAGTGGTATAGTGCAGCCTTCCCGAATGCCAAGGCGCTTCTCAGCTCTCCAGGCTCAGTGGCCACATGCCACTCTGTTTACAGCCAGCGGAGGTTATTTAGATCGCAAAGGGCAATGATCTTCTCAGGCACATGGACCGCCCGTGTCCCGCTTTACCTGCCTAAGTCCCTGTCTGAAAGGAAGTCTGCACGCAGAGGTTCTGCAAGAAAGCTGGACCACTGGAGATGGCAGCAGGGCGTGCTTTCTTCGTTTGTAATTTCCACCAGGAACTTGGACAGGTTGTGTTGATTGCTCCATGAATGCTTTCGTTTCAGATATGTATTGGTGCCTCAATTACATGCTGCGTAGTGTTGCCATCGGCCATTTTAGACAGATCGCATGGGAGCTACCCTCTCAAACTTCAACGAGGAAACATAAGATGGTGAGTAAAGCTGTGTATGGTGGGGGGCCGGGATAACCCCCACCGGCCCAGAGGGGGGGGGAGTATGGGGCTCTAGCCCCCACAAGAGGACCTGTGCAGCCTCGGCTGGAGAGATTGTCCGCTTCTCCCGCCAAGGTGCCAGACAGGGCCGCCACCTGTCAGAGGATGCAGCTGTTCCACAACAGTATTAGCGGAACCCAAAACAAATGTAGCCCATATGGTGCCAGAGCATTGTGCCTGTTGCACCATGTTGATTGACAGGGTACTAAAGTCCCTTAAAGCTCATAAACATCAGGATTAATCGTGAGCTGAAGCCCGCCGTGTCCTCTCAGCATGGCAGCCCGGTCCCGCCCCCCACTATCAATACTTTTCAAGTTACATAAAAGTATCATAGTATCAGTATCAGATTTCCAAGCTCCAATTTCACAGCCATGACCAGCCTTGTGTGACCACATAGCTCACACTGGTAGGAGAGCATTTGAGAGGGACACAAAGAGGGCGAGGAGAAGGTTACATGGAAAGGGCCACACTCAATGAAGCATAGAGAGAAGCATACACAAGGGTGCTTGGAAAGGGCCATAAATAAGGGGGCTTAGAAAGGAGCACACATAAGGTGGCATGGAGAGGTACACACAAGGAGGTTGCGTAGAGGGTCATACTGTCAGCAGTTGAATTAATTTTTTTTAGGGAGCAAAACTGCTGTAATCTGTTGAAGTACATATCGGGAACCCCTAATGGCCAAGGAATTATGGGATATGCGCAGCTCTCACTTTTTAAGTAATAAACAAATTAAGAGTGGCTGATATGATTTATCCACTTTCTGCTTTGGTTAATGTTCAACAAATGAAGTGCTTTTAATTTATTATTCCCTTGGTTTTATTGTATTACCCCCATTAATGCATTACAATTTTACAGTATATCAAAGAAACATTGTGTACATTTCCCTTTTTACATAAAATAACAAGAACTTTATGAGTGGGGGGATCCTAAGTTTAGCACAAGATGCCTGAAAGTCTACTGCTGGTCCTGCTGTCTGCTGATATCAACCTAGTTCCTCTTTCATTAGTAAATTTAAATCTTGTGCATTTGTTAGAGTGTTTGGAGGAGACAGGGGCCATATCCACGTAGAATGGATATGGAATATGTGTTTGTTGAAGCATAATTTGTTATGGAATGTATCAAAAATGCACTGTATGCCTGAGCAAACCTTTCTCATTCACATAGAACTAGCCCACAGCCTCTGTTGTGGAACAGATCTCTGTATAGGCTCCAAGAACATTCAATTGGTTTCCATGGTGACTGCAACACTTTTAGAACTTTGCCCCAGAATCTCTCTTGATTGATAACTTTCCAATGTAGGAAACTGTCATATTAAAATGTGATCAACTGATCTGAACAGTATGAATCTTC